GTGGTTCCGCGTGCTTTCATGCATCTGCCCCAGGAGGTAGAAAAAGAGGACGTGCCCCGTGCGGACAAGACGGGGGAGGGAAGGGGTCGTTTTTTTCACTTCGGGTGAGTTCCTTGGAGATGGCGCTCTCTCTCCCACATGGTGAGTCTGAAGGGGCCGCTTCACAGTCCCACTCAATCCCTGCGAAAAGTTTAGGATTCTTAAAGTCCTAAACCTGCCGCCTTAGTAAATAGTGGCTCCTACAGTTCCCCGTTAGGCTTTGGTAAACTGCGGGCGTGCACACAAACATACATAGGTACATGCATACATATTTTCATACATACATATACATAAACACACACACTAACGTAGGTAAGGTGGTTTTCTAGAGCTCTTAATTTCGCCCCCCCCCCCGGGGTTGGGGGGAAATACCTGCTAACGGTCTTGTTTTCTAAGGGTTTGCCTATTCCGCCCCCGTCCACCAGGCCGGCTCACCCTTGCGTGCAAGTGTAGCGAAGGACATACGAGAGAGTGGCAGCAGAATATAGGTTGACATCCAAAAATAGGAGGACAAGCGTCACTGTTTTAAATATAATCAGTAGCTTCTACAGAAGCAAGCACCCGATTCTCTAAGATTCCTTGGCCGGTATAGACAATGGCTGTCCATAGAGTTGGAAACTTCTTACTGGCTGGCCTACGTAGCTGAAACTGTTTTGGATAATGCCTTCATGATCCTCAGACATAGAATTTAAACGTGCCATCCGGGAGGAGTCAGAAGTAGTCATATTTTAAGCTTCCCGGACCACAATTAATATGGGTTTTACTTGAGGCCTACTGCTTGAAAAATAGAGTCTGAGATAGGTTTTATCCTCACATCGGGTAATCTGGAAAACTGAAAGAAAAAAAAAAAAACTATGTTGATACAGTATGCAAAAATCTTAGAGAACACTGGGTTCCAAAAGTAAAACTCCCACCCCCAGGGAAAGCTGTTTGTTGCTGCACCAATTGTCTTTTAGGCATGGAAATGTAAAACTATTGACACTACTCAGGAGGGCTAGGGTGGCTGGAGCAGTGGCCTGAACCAAAAAAGAAAAAGAGCAGAAAAGAAAAACTATCAAGTTTTATTTGCTTGGTTTTTGTTTTTGTTGTTTGTTTTTCAAGACGGGGGTTTCTCTATATACTCCTGACAGTCCTGGAATTTGCTCTGTAGACCAGGCTGGCCTCCAACTCGCTAGGACTGCTTCCTGAGTGCTGATATTAAAGGGGTGCGAAATTTCATTTTTCCAAAAGTTAGTAAAGAGCATTTATAAAGGATTTTATGACTTATTGCTGGCTCTGGTTTTAGTTAATTTCAAAATACTCACAGGCTCCAAGTCGCCTTCCTTAATGATGAGTTTTTGCTTTGTGTTTTTTTTTTTTTTCTGTACAGCATATGCCTAGCCCTTGTAATGTGTGGATTTGAATATAGTTGTTAATATGCTCTATTAAAAATCTGTTTTATGCCTTTAGTTAATATTTCTCCCTCCATAATTATTTTATATTAATAATTTGGTGCCTTTGGGAATCTGTGGTTAGGAAGCAGAAATTTTTAGCATTTGTAAACATTATAATTGTGTATTTTCAGGACTATAAAACACAGTGCTGTAGCCTCTTAAGAGTTAAAGAAGGGTCTGGATTTGTAGTGTTTTGTTAACAAGCACACAATCCTGGGTTTCATCCCCAAGAGGCAGAAGTTGGGGCTATGGTGATACTTTCCTGTAATTCCAGCCCTGGAGGGTGGAATGACCATGATAGATGGGGGAGTCAACCAGAACTACAGACAGGGGAACCTAGGACTTAAGGCTGTCCTTTATCACATATATAATTCAAGGCTATCCTGGGACATTTGAAACAAAATGAAACATAAAGTTAAAATATCCATTTATACTATTACAACTTGTAGTGTAGAATATGTAAAATATAAAAATATGTTTGTTGAAAGAAACCATTTGTCACAAGTAAAAAAATCAATTTTCAGGAATTATGTGTAAAATTCTCTAGACATGCTTTCATTGTGTAAAAGGCCCAGTTATCAACAATTATCTGATAATAGAACATATGGCATGCATAGAATGTAGGCTAAAAATATGTCCAATTTCCTAACTTTCTATTTGAAAATAAGGATATAATGGAAATATTTGAAGTGTTAATTACCAGTGTTAGTATAATTATGTACCTCATGTTTATATATTCCACCACAGTTGTATTGACTTAGGAATATATGTGGTGCTAATTGTGTTGAATCATTCAGGTCCTTGATGTTCAAGTGTTTAGACATTCCTTATACAGATTATTGAATATTGATCCAAATATGTAAGGTGTCAGTATTCTAACATTTTGAAAACCTCTGTAAATGTGTTCATTAGAACTTTTTATTCCTCTGACTGAAAATGTGTATGATAAAAGTTTGTGTGGGATACAATTTAGTAGTCTTCTGCAGAAGGCACTGGATTCAGTTTCCAATACACATTACTATTTACACTACTAAGTTCTGCTTGGTAAAGTACCCCTTTATCCATGGCTACTTAGGGACTCAATGCAGCTCCTCTTCCTGTAGCCTGCAGTCATCTCAAGGTAAGCGCCTTAAAGCTGACTTAAACCAATATTTCAATATGTACACGATCCCAGTTAATGCTGTGTTCTACATTGAAAACAACCCTTTCTTTCATTTTTATGTTTTGAGACATCATTGTCATCCTAGAAACAGGATAACCTTTACTGCCTGTGTCTCTAACACTTTATAGGGCTGCCCTGCCATTCATGTTAGTTCATTACTAGAATCACTGTGATGAACATAAACCACCATTTTCCCTAACATTGGGATCACTCTTGCTTATGAAATGATATGAATCATCAGGAAAAAATATTTTCTAATAGGAAGTAGCAAAGCTGAACATTTGACCAGTGTTTTCACTCCATCTCTCTTGTTCCTTCACACTACAGTACCTTGGGCCACCTCAAACTGAAACCCTACACTAGAATGCCCTGGACCCTCTGTGTGCTTTAGAAAAAAAACTTGAAGTTTCTGTGATGCTGTGTTTCTGTACTCTGAATTATGTAACTAATGAGTATTATTTCATTTTCAAAATATAAAGATTATAGTATTAAGTATGAATTTTCTCTAACTTCAGAGTCTCACATAGCCATAGCTCATCTCTAATATGGCAAGAGAAACAATTTTTTAAACATGGTCTCATGTATGTAGCCCAGGAAGGTCCTGAAATAAACATCCGAACACCTCCTGGGTGCTTGGGTTACTAGCAGTAGGCCATGATGCCTTGTTTATACAGCTCTGGGGTCCAAACCTCAGGCTCCTTGAGTGCTGGCCAAATACTGTGTGAGCTGAGCAGCGTCCTCGGCCAATCTCATAGCACAGGATAGGAACTTTACAAATGCCTACACTTGTATTTAACTGCCCTAAGGAAAGAGAATACCTTCTGGAGAGCAGTATAGAAAGAATGAAAGTTGCCTAAAATCATAACAATATGGTGTTAAACTATGGAATGAGATAATTAGGCTTGGGAGTAGGGTTTTCCCACTTTCCCACTATGTAGCCCGGGCTAACCTGGAACTCACTATGTAGACCAGATTGAGTTCCAACCACAGAGATCTGCTTGACTCTGCACATAGGTGCTACAATTAAAGGCATATACCACCAAGTTTGTTTGATTTTGACACTAAGAGCCCAGATTGAACTGAATTCCCTCTTCTCCTGCCTCCTCCTGACTTGAGGCTTTAACTGTGATGTGCTAGTTCCCCAGACTTAAGGAAGATTGCAGGTGCGTGTGTGTGTGTGTGTGTGTGTGTGTGTGTGTGTGTGTGTGTGTGTGTGTGTTTGTGTGCCCACTCTGACATATTTTTGGTAGAATATTCAATTTATTTATTTATTTATTTATTTTCAATTTTTTAATACAATGTAAAATAGTTACCTAAATGCAGGCATGGAGGGCAGGCGTTAGGTTTTGTTTTTCTCACTATGTAGCCTTAACTGGCCTGGAACTCCCTATGTAAATTGGCCTTGAATTCATAGAGACATGCCTGCCTGTACCAAGTGATAGAATTTAAAGGCCTGTGCCACCATGCTCCCCACCCCAATTCCCAAACAGGCAGCATTTAAAGTGAGACTTGGTATAGTAAACAATTTTGTAAATGGTTTCCTCATGCTGGGAGGGACAGGGGATCTTTATCATCTTCATCATACTTTTGAATTTTACAAAGTAATCTCGATTGATACCTATCACTAGTAAACATATTTCATTGTCAAAGCCTCCAGTCCCATAAAATTGCACATCAGGGATGAATTAAGAGTGCCAGATGAGTTGAGAACTGAGTTGTGAGTCTCTCACCTCTATGAAGATGGTTTTAAAGTTTGGAAAAACTGACAAGGGCTATGACTTGAGGCTTTAACTGTGATGTGCTAGTTCCCCAGACTTAAGGAAAGGATACTGCTGCTGCCCTCACCCATCTCTGAGGTTCTTGGATGTTGGGTCCCCTTTCAGCTTTGGCTCACTCTCCCCGCACCTCACCTGCTACACTCATACTCAGGTATTTGAATAACCTCAGGCTGAGATCCCTGGTTGGCAGAACTAACCTCACAGAGGCTCATCCCGCATCCTGAAAGCCCCCAAAACACCAGTGGGTAGCCAAGCTCCACATAGCTCAGATGTCCATCCCTGCCTCCTCCCTCTCAACCCAATCCTGAGAAATGATGATTTAGCTGGCTACCTAAGCAAGACCAGAATTTAGACCCTGGGTCCACTTATCACCCAGGCACTCCTTCAAGATTTGCCTGTTCTGGACTGGTTCCCTCCCCTGAGCTACATCCTCAGATAAGAGTTGATCAGATAGTATATGTGTTGGAAGCTTTACAGGAAGGGAAGCTTCACTGGACAGCAAGGAGTGGTGTCAGGCAGACTCAGACTTCTCTAGATTCAGACATGATAGGAGGACATTTCTACGTCACCAATTCAGCTCTTATTGGATGGTGGGCCAAGAAAATCAGTTTTATTTGGGGGAACACACACAAGGCAAAGGCACTTCCAAAACCCCCCTACACCCCCCCCACACACCTTGTGGAGTCGTGGTCTCTGCTTCTGTGTCTCAAGAGCAGCCATCCCTTCAAAAAGGCTAGCACTTCTCTTTTGTTTTATCATGCAAATCTCCCTCAGTTAGAATATGCTCTTGAAATAACTAATCACTTCTAGGATGGCAAGCAAAATACAGCCCAAGAAAACCTGTGAATAAACTTCCTAAAAAATACCCTCCAACTTCAGGCCTCAACAAATCCACCATGTGATAATTTGTGCTATGTCAGTGTAATCAGCAAGCCGAAGGGTGGACTTAAAATTGTTGGTGCTACCAAAAATCAATGCCATCTTTTTATTTTACTTATTTAAAGAAGAGATCAAAGACACTCTTCTCAGCTCCTGGCAGTGCAGTTGCTTCTTTCATGAGCCCCAGGACAGGCATTGAATTTCATCAAAACCATGATCAGAAGAAAAAAAATGATAAAGTGGGAAGATTAAGATACAAATCTTGCTATAAGATTTTAAATTCCCAAAGCATCAGAATCCTTTCTCATGTTTGATTTTTATGTTAGGAATTGCATATTGGCCTTGCTTATGAAAATGAAAACACTGTATTACAAAGGACTTTTTAACTCTTCTTCAAGGCTTTTTCAGTCTTGTCCCTCACCACCGAATCACTAAATTACTCAAACAGACACCGGGTGGGCGGCTTGGGGATGGAACTCTGGACGCTCAGGGTCCAGGTTCCACCCCTGAAAAAACACTCCCAACCCCCAAGAGGAATTGTGTTCAAGGAAGTGTGTGTAGGAGTTTAACATTGCCTGAATAAAGCTAGCTAATCTCTTATGCAAATTGAAACTAATAAAACTGCACAGATTTCTCTCAGTATGTTTGTTTTGCTAATGGAAGCATGCAAGAAACCAGACATCAGAGGGGTACAGTAGATTGGTGGTGTCAGCAGCCTCAGCCTGAAAGTTGTTCCTGTAGATTTCTCACTGACCGTCAAATTCTAATCCAGCAGTTTTTTGACAGCTCACCAGAGTCTGCACTTTATTTGGGATTCTGTTCCCAATAGGCCCTTGGGCATGATTTGCAAATGCCAACATTGCTTATTTAATACCTTGTTTTTAAACTTAAAGAAGGTGTTTACAGTTAAGTACACTCTGGACTCCAGGTAGGAGAGTAACTGAATAATCAAAGAAAGAATTGTTTCACAAAATGAAAAAGAGACCTTTTTGTATTAGAATTTGCAGGGAGGAGTCTCAGAGGTACCAGATTTGTATAATTAGGGCTTCTGTTAGAGCGGAGGACACAACAGGATATTTTATAAACCTCACAGCATCAGAAAATTGCGTATAGGAAAGCCACAATAAAATTGTCCACTCAGAATACTGTGTCTACTTCACTTTTTCATACCAGATGAATGAATCTCTCTCCACATACATATGAATAAGGGTTTTATTTTATTATCTAAACCAGACTTGGAGTGAATAGAACCTTAAAGGAAGACAAAAGGGTTTCACTGGTTTAAACTGTTTATTTAGAATTAAAAAAAGTAAAATGTTACCATAACAGAATGAAGCTGACAAAGAAAATGTTGGACATTTGTGTATCTGTAACAGCACAGGAATGGGGCCGTGGAGGGTGGGGAGTAGATAACTTGAGCAGGAGGGAAATGCAGTTTTAAAAAACTGAAGATGGGATGTCTCCCAAATGTCATCATAGTTTTTTCTTAGCCTTTCCAGGTGTCTCCTGTTACATTTGTACACTAGTATAAAGTTTGTGTTTTACTTTCTCTTCTGAGTGCCACTGTTTTCTTGCCTTATTTCTGTTTGGTAGTCAGATCATCTGACTAAGCTTTTGTGTGATTCTTACATCCGATTTAAAGAAACAGTAGCCATCTGACTCAATTCAGTTGAAAACCTCTGCCATATGAAAATAGTATCTTTTTACTTTGAAATAATTAAGATCCTATGTAATGTGAGATACTTTGAATTTTATATGCCAAGTAGTTGCACCAAAATATATTCTATGGAATAACACATTTCTTAAAAAGAAGCGTATTCAGGCATTCTTCCAAAGCACATACTAAGGTAATATTTTTCTCTCAGAGGTGATTATGAGGAGCTTAATAGATTTGAGCTGCATTGTCTCATTTAATTATCTTAGTGCTCTTATGTTTTTGATGTTTTACTTTCTCTTGTCCTGTGTTTAAAGTGTAAGGCTCAAGTATGTACCACAACCTGTCAAATGCCATTGGTTAATAATGTCTATATTAATTACCTTGGTTGCCTCTGGGATTAAGAGCACACATACACACAATTTCATTTTCATCTCTTCTAGCTGTTATATAACTGAAGTTTTTATGAGTTCCCCAAGTCACTGCATCTCATAAATTTAAGCTGAAACAGCTTATAAATATAAATTACTTGTTCCTGCTTTGATTTAAAAGCAGCAAATGAGAACTTTTGAACTAACACAGGAACAGTTTGAAGCAGAAGAAAGCTCATTCTTGGTATTCACATCGCCTGAGATCAGATTTCCTTT